GGAAGGATTAGAGATATGAGGTGCCATCTTATTATTAGGTTCCCAACTTGCCATGATATAAATACGCTTACTGCCTTTAGCTTATATACCTGAGCCTTAAGGGTTGCTGCAGTCTCTGTTCCAACATTAATGGTCTCATGAACAACCTGTAACAAACAAGAGTGCCCAACAATTAGTCCTCTTTGAATAGCAAAATGCCATACAAAACTTTAAAACATGAAATTTTACTTCTAATTGGCTCTACAGAGAAGTTTGGACCATTAGAATTATAGAGACATCATAAATTTATCAGTAGAATGTTTAAATTCTAATACAAGAGAAGCTTGGACGCTGATGAACCTTTTTTGCTCTGTCAATGGCTTGATCAGTCTCATCCATCATCTGGTTTCCTTTATCTACTAGCTGTTGATTTGTCATAGCTGCAAAACATAAAATCTCTGCATCACAAATAGCTCAAAAATAAAAGCAAGATGAGACATTGTCTCCAGTCAATGCCAGCAGCAGACGCAATTCCAACTACTCATGAAGAATGTCAGCCACTCAAGTCACCATGTCTAATCATATTTACAACTCATTCACCATATAGACAAACCAATAAGAGCATTATGTAAAACAAAATGTGAGATGCTTACATGAAGCTAGCAAGACATTATCGTCCCCATATACTTCATTAGACCCATCAAAGAGATCAACTCGCTTGTTGTTCTCAAGATTGCTCTGATATCTGGTACATCATAAAAAAAACCCTCAAAACAATTAAAAAAAGAAGATTGTTCAAAAGAAGCCCCAAACTATAGATGGCTAAGAAATGAAATAAGCTTTTTTCTTATTGTATGAATGGAATTAGGAAAATTAAAAGTAAAGGAAGGAGAAATGGGGAGGGGATAAAAAAAGAAATGATGAAAACCTATAAAACAAAGTGAAAGAGAAACAATAAATAGACACAATTTTCTGCTGATATTGTTGCCACGTGAAATGAAAGTGGTAACTTCCGGAAATATTAACTTACTGCTTTTTCATAGCAACATATGAATTTAACTCTTTGATCTGCATGAGAATTCCAATAAGATTAAGAAAACTTTGAACAGAAGATGATCAGGCAACAAAGCAGAACATCAATTGAGAAAAAAAAAAAAAAAAAAAAAAAAAACAGGGGGCAAATTCTAGTGAAAGAATCATGCAGATACAAGTGTTGTTATACAGCTGAGCCAATACAATTTCACAAACATAATGTCTTCAATCAGCCAAAAATAAAAAATAA